GTAGATCTGTGTCTGTGAAGGTTCTCAGTCACCCGGATCATTGTAATCTAAGGAGCTGGAAAGAAAAGCGTCTGAATTTCTTTAAGTTTCCTTCTTTCAGACAAAAACTGGTTCATGCCAAAGAAGAAAACTCCCAAACACAAACTTAACAACATAGTGTATGCTGTACAGTGTAGCGAGGAATGCTCAGACCTCTAAATCACCTCTACATCGGTGAGACCAAACAGCCACTTCATAAACGCATGGCACATAGAAGAGCCACGTCGACCAGGACAAGACTCGGCTGTCCATCTTCATCAAAAGGTCGCTGCTTCGAGGACACCAATGTTCACATTTTTGGACAGAGAAGACAGATGATTTGAAAGAAGAGTGAAAGAAGCCATCTATGTCCACTGTGAACGACCATCTTTGAACAGAGGTGGTGGTTTACGACACCAACTGTTTGCCATCTATAACCCAGTGTTGATCCCTTCCCAGACGCCTTAACGCCCACTCACATCCTGGGCCATTTCACCTCAGTAAATCACATGATAGGGTGGGGCTAGATTTCACAGTGGGTTCTCCCGAAACCTTAGCTGATTGTGACCTACACCAAGTCCAGATGTTTTTCTTTCCCAGCTCCTTATTTTAGATCTACTACTTTTCATAGCTACAACCAATATGGAGGAACTCATATTACTTACAAAGGGGAATTTCTATCAGCCTCAGGGAAACTTTGGGTTTTCTTCTAATTGGCACAAATGTGCGTGGTCTTTGTACACATAGACTTTAATTAACATCAGCAAGTTAATATTTTTGTTACCACACATAAATGCTTCCAGCATAATTTCAGCCTTTCCCTAACTTTTTATCATGTTTTTCAGTTCCCTTTTTTTTAATAAAAAAAATTATAAGATGTTGAAAGCACAGCATATTTTCAGTAGATTGAATAGATCTATTAATGCTCAAGTATTGGCAACACAATTGTCAACATTAACATTAAAGCATCAAGTTATTTTGTCAAGCACCAGCAACACTATCCAAAGAGTGAGAAGGCCAGGTTGTAACAGTGCCAGCATCGGCTGCCAAAAGCCAGTTATTTGACTCATTTTTATTTGTTGGATGATAAAGATGCAGTTCTGTGCTTTGAATAAAGACTATTTACCGGAAAGCTCTTCGCTCCACATTGTTGGCTTTATGAGTGCAGACACACCAGTAAATGCATATGTTGTGCAGGCAGTACATGAAATGTCACAAAAGTGCAACCAACACAAAGCCACTAAGCTTTTGTGTACACACACTTTCAGACACATAGTAACTAAGCGGACACTCTCGGAGGACAATGTGAGAACTGAACAGAGGAGTCACTTAATGGCGCTAATGGAAATTATCCATGTCGGGTTCCCACTGGTCACAGCTTAAAGGACTGGGCCTGTTTACTACATTACCCTCAACCCCTCTGGGAGACATCGTATTAGCTGCCAGGGTAACGGCCATCAGGTTATTCTATGTTGTTCCCTTTTCATTTACATTCTACTTGATTCAAATCATTAAAACTATGAAGGAAGCACTGGTCCTTCAGTGTAGTCAAAACTTGTGTGTCTAGAAGAAGTCCACTGTTTTATTTTAGAATTTTTGTTATTTTGTATGTCTCGTTGTACATGTGACACATTCTCCTCTTTTCCTTTTAATTAGTTAACTGTTTTAAATGTTAATATATTCACATCAGGGTGCCTTATTTGATATTGCAGTGTTTTAAGCTTCTAGCAACTTCAAACAGACTTAATCAATCTGAAATGGGACGTCTGTTTCAATTTGCTCAAAGAAAATCAGATTCTCTGATTTTAGTTTGACTGCAGAATGTGCTTATAGTAACTTCATTTAAATAGCATTTTTTCAGGGGTAGCTAAAGTCATTAATTACAAAGGCCAAAGAAAACCTTTTATTTTAAAAAAAGAAACATCTTATCAAACACCTTGTTGTCTGGTTGAGAGGAGAATGCTTGAATTTTTGAAGAATTCAGTACCCACAAATCATCAATTATTTACATCAAAAAACCAAACTCAGCCCAGACAGTTGTTCACCAAAGGTCATGTGTTGTGTTTAAACCCAAAGGATAAAAAGAGAAGGAGATTATATATATATATATTCCCACCAAAGCTAAAATCTCACCCGTTAAAAGGGGGATTTCAATTCTCATTAGAAATTAATAATATTTTCCATGTGTGACTTACCACTTCCTGCAGCTCTAAAGAAGATTTTATACAAGAAGATAAAACAAATTGAACTTTGTATCCATCACTAATAGGGAAGATTCTTTCATGGTCAGACAGAAAATATACATCAGATTCAAAACACAGCCTTATTTTAAATGGAAATATCACCTTTACTGTAAATACACGGGTCAAGTTTCCAAGTCTTCTGCTTGTGTACAGCTGCACGCCTCCAGTGTATGTATTCATCAAGTAAGACATCCTTTTTACTACGTTATGTAATGAGACCCCTGGAAGAGGATCTATGGATGGGCTTCCCCCTGACTAATCAGTTAAATGTTGTATCAATCTTCAATCCATTTTACAGATACAATTTAACCCATAGTTTAGTTTCCCCAAGTGTTTAGCCCCAAAGTAATTGGCTGTGGGATTACAATTAGTGAGGAGATTAGTGATTGATTAGCTAATTATGATAATACGACGGCTTATATAGAAATGGATGTGTAAATTTCTGCACCAACTAAAGAGTGGGAGGGATGGCAGAGAATGCTTTAAGACAGGGGAAGCGATAGGTGAGACGAGGATTTGGAGTCTGTGTGCACTAATTATACAGATCCAAAGATTTTTGTGTGTTTGTGCACGTCTTCCATTTTCCAGTGGAGCATAGGGGTATGTTGCTCATCCAATTTTAAAGCAGAACACAGAATTATCACAGTCAGCAGTGCAGCCTCTTATAAAGAGCTTAGTTTTCAAAATATAACAAAGTTAACAAGGTTTTGGTAACTGAATGACACTTTAAGCTGGCATCATTAGATCTTTTTCTAGAAAGTTGGAGATTGCTTAACCTCTGTTAGAATGAAACATTATAGTGAAAAACTGTTTGATTAGTTCTTACCAACCTTTTCGTTCCCACACTGTTGCTGTGCTTCCTAAAATGCTTCAGTCATACAGTACGGTGCAAACGCCTTGATTTTGTGATCAGTAATTTATTGGGATTTGGGTTAAAGTAAGGGTGTGTGGAATTCTAACGAGCATGAAAATCAATATTTGGTATGATCGCCTGAACTCTCTTATGCAAGATATCTTGTAATTTCCTTAAGTCACATACCTGTGGAGGCATGGAGATATCCAGGAGAGAGGGGAGTCGACTTATTGACAAGAGTGTTTAACACAAGCTGGGAGAGTGAGAGGATGCCTGAGGAACGGAGAAGAGGTGTACTGATACCAGAGGGATAAAGCTGATGAGCCATACACCGAAGCTGAGCGGGAAAGAGTTGTTGAAGTTTGTTGACAACAGGCGAAGAAGACAGATGATGATCAGTGAGCAGCAGTATGGCTTCGTAGCACTACAGATGTTTACTTTGAGTGTTAATAGAGAAATATAGAGACCATCAGAAGGAGCTGCACTGTGTTTTTGGAGCTGTGGTACTGCACGAGGAAGACATGAGTGGCAGAGAACTATGTGAGGGTGGTGGGACATTTACAAGAACAACAAGACAGAGCTGAGGTATGAGGTGACAGATGAGGTCATGGTAGGGGTGGGATTACATCAGGGATCGGCTCTGAACCCCTTCTTGTTTGCATTGGTGATGGACCGGTTGGCATATCAAGTCGGGCAGGAGTCTGCGTGGGTATGATGTTTGCAGATGACATTTTGTTGTGGGAGTAGGGGGCAGGTGGAAGAGAGCCTGGAGAGGTGGAGGTATGCTCTGGAGAGAAGATGAATGAAAGTCAGTAGAAACAAGACAGAATAAATGAGTGAATGAGAGGGAGACAGGTGTAACAATAAAGCTGCAAGGAGCAGAGGTGGTGAAGGTGTGCATGAGTTTAAATACCTGGGATCAGCCAAGCAATAAACAGAGTGTGCAAGAGAGGTGAAGGAGGGAGTGCAGGCAGGTTGGACTGAGGGGAAAAGAGGTTAATTGTAACAGAAGGATAGCAGTACTTGTCCAGTGTCCTTAAGTTTTTTAAAGACACAGTACAATGCTCACATGTGGCAAGTTTGCAGCTTACTTTGTTTGGGAATCACCTTGTTGGTTACTTGGTTGATAGTCCAAAAATACAAATTTATGCCAACATGTGTTATCTTTGGCATTTCTTTACAGGTCAGCTGAAAACATAGAAACAAATGATGTGGTTTTACAACAAGCTGTCAAAAACAAAGGTGGTTAAGGACACAATTTGTATGGACGTTTTTGCTGAGTTGTCTATCGTGAACAGAAACAACATGGGTTCATGCCCTGAGCTGCACTTTTACGTGGTCAGACACAAGGACTGGACTAAAAATAGGCAGCCAATGTCCAAAGAAATCCTTTGAAAGACTTTTACAAGGTTTGAGAAGACAAATAATCTCTTGACTGTGAACAAAAAGGTTGTTTTGTGTTTTTTTTTTGTTTGTTTGCGGCAAGAGTAAAGTCCTTACTAGTAAATCATTAACAGAACTGCATCGATGCTTTCCAAGCTCGTAATGCTTTGTAGTGCTAATATTGCTGCTGTTCAGCTCACAACAGTTCACTAATTAAGGTCGGTTTATTACTGTATATGCATAAGTCAGCTTGATTCGGTGCTCTCCTGCTGGTGTGTAATTACTTATAGGTATTTTTTCTCTTCATGCTGCAAATATAAAATGAGTAAATTATTCCTCCTCTTTCCTCTTGTGTGCTGTTCTTTACCTGTACACAATTTTCCTATAAAGCTTCGTAGCAAGTGGATGGGAACGCCATTGCTCCGTTTAGATCATAAAGTAAAGTCAGCCATAGAGCTGTGTGGGATGTGTCATCACATAAGTATTTGTCTGTCTCTTTCCAGGCATGCGTATCCTTGTGAACCTGCTGCTCGACACGCTGCCCATGCTGGGTAACGTCCTTCTCCTCTGCTTTTTCGTCTTCTTCATCTTCGGCATCATAGGAGTGCAGCTGTGGGCGGGGCTGCTGAGAAACCGCTGCTACCCCGAGGAGAATTTCACACTGTGAGTCACCGCCTGCTCCGTCTGAGTGTGGAAAAGAGTGTGAGACCATGTAATGCACATTCTGTCTTCTTGAACATTAATCTCTCTGACAGGGCGTGTGTGAGTCTGACGTTTACACACTGTCACCTCTGTGTGTGTTTCTTTATTACGGTAATTGCGTCAATGATGTAACTTCTTGAATAGCACGTGAATCAAAATACACACTGTACCCGCAATGTATATGTGTGTCCGTTTCTGTATGTGTAAATAGGTCTGTCACCTCTCCTCTCATTACCTGCCCTCCCTCTGCGTGACTCTAGAAGATTAATTACATCATCTATTCAATTCACTCACATTTCCATAGTGTGAGATTAAGCCTCCCTCTGGCCCCGTCTCTCAAGTGCTAATATAATGAGGCTGATGGCAAACTAAAATTTGCACAAAGCAAATATCATTACCTCATAATCAAATCTGCCACTTAATTAAAAAGCTGACACTCTTCTTCACTGCAACCTTTCTCTCTAACCCATTTTCTGCCAAGTCATCAAGATTATATCAGCGTTTCTGCAATAAACTGCAGAGACGTAGGATCGAGAAATTCCAGGTACTGTAGCTTAAACATGTTTGGCAAAATGAAATAGGTGGAGAAGGGGTGACTGAACGTAACTTTTTTAGGTTTCACAATGCTGTAATATTCAAATTCAAGGTTATAGAAGCATCTCTAAAGACTTCAGATTCCAACACACAACCACAATTCACAGAGATCGTCTATAAATGGAAGAAATTCAAAATCATGTTCACCTTCCACAGAAACGATCGACCAACAGAGATCACACAAGAGTGTGACATGTACTAGTCAATCCCAAACAACAAGACCACATTTGAACTTATTGGTTTAACCTCCTAGGACCCGAACTCTTCCACAGCATGGATTTTAATTTCTCTTTGATATTTGGGCATATTGGGGCCCGATGAATGTAAAAACAAAGAATTACCAGATTATTTTTTTTACCTAATTTTTGTTTTTAAGAAAAATAAGAGCCACATATGAGGATATTCGTTTATTTAATTTAATTTTGATAGAACAGTAGCCGTATAATGCCCTTGTAAGTGGATATCGGGCCCTTGTAGAGCAAAATTGAGTATTTTGGTCTAAATAACGCAAAATGTGATGTCCACATATGTGGACGCCAGGTCCTAGGAGGTTAAATAAGATGTATTCTGTTTGAGGAAATAACACCAGTTGTCATGGAGCACTGAAATGAGATGAGATGAGATAGCCTTTATTTGTCAGTTGCAGGTCTTTTGCCCACAACCAAGATGACAGACCTTGCCCGACCGTACATAAAATACACAAACATCACATTGGGGAGACAGGTCAGGCTAGGTAGCAAGGAAAAAAAACATTGAAATGTGTAACACAAAAGGATAATACAGGAATGCACAGATATCAAC